GTCCATTTGCAGCACACACTGATATTATCGTTTGAATTTTAAAATATAAAAATTATACACCTCGATGAAATAGTAAAAAGTCAACTGAAAATCGACCTGAATAAGTTATCTTTATTCGGTTAACTGAACTGTTTAATCCGAAAAATAAAACCCAAAACCGTTTTCATCTGGATGAATTATTTGGTTTTGAAATTTTTTCCTACACCCCTAAGTGTGTCCCCAACTATAAAAGTTTCTAGATCCGCCACTGGACATGGTGACAGAATTCATGTTTTAATAGACACGAAAAACAAAGTTGGTTGCATTTTAGTTTAATAAAATGATAAAGTACTAAAAATTGATTTCTCCAAAATAAGAACAAAGGCTAGGTTAGCTCTGTTTTGATGTATTTTTTCCTCTTTTTAATTATAATTAATACACTATTTATTTGTAATTTTCAAAAAATTGTTGATGAGTCAACACAGATTTTTAGCATGCACTAATAAAAGGTCATTTACTAAATAATTACTTGGTAAACATTTATCAAGTTACTTATTTTATAGGATTAACATAGCAATGGGCCGAAACTCTTACCCAATAACAGACAAGACATGGAACGAGAGTGTAGGGAGGATGACGACTATTACCGATAAACATTTATCAGGTAAGATTGATGCATACGACGTCATTTTGATGGTCAAGAATCTTACAATAAGGTTAGCAAAAATGTTAAATCTTACCGGTAAACGCTTATCGAATAAACATTTTAGTAAACATACCCTAAGTTTCTTATGTTGATACGTAGTATTTTCCCACCTCAATTTGGTCTACTTTTTGGCCACCAAAAAAGGAGGGAACCATATAAATTTCATCATGCATATATTTTCTTGATCATCTTCGTAAAAAGTTCAAGCTTCCACGAAAACCTTCAAATTTCAGCTGGTTTCTAGAAATTATTAGAAAAGAAATGCTCAAATGGGTTCATCAAAGTGGTTAGATATATATTTTATTAATAATATAATTATTTGAGTATTTTGTTTGTTTTTATGTTTATCTAATTAACTATTGATGATGTTCAAACAATCAACTATAAATGAGTCTACGTCATTCATAATGCATTTTTCAAATCACAATGCCATGTAATCACCCACCTGCTTCAAACAAAAGACAAATCATGGGGTCTAAGTCGTTTGTTTGCTATTTGTCAGACTAAAGATGTAGGATTGGAGGGATGGATGCATAAAAAAAATTCAAACGGTGGTATCATTTGACCATAAGAAAAAAAAAATTGGGAAAATTTTCAGTGATATTGTTTGACTATAAGAAACAAATATATTGAATTTTTTTTTTCAAACGATGACACCATTTGATTAAGAAAAAGACACTAACATGATTCAGACTTGGGTGTGGGGTGGAATAAAAGCCTTGAAGACCAACTCTACCAAATAAAACTTGTTCTCATTGTAGTTTCAAAATACATACGATGGCATACAACAAATTAATACGGTTGTACCGTTCACCGAAACCTAATATTTTTAACCCTTCGACGAAAAAATAATAGGGTGACATATACCACCTATACCACAAGCCTGGATCCGTCCATGTAGGATGGTTTGTATTTTTCTTTCAAAATATAACTTCATATCCATGTTAAAGATTTTGAAGATTTAACAATTCTTTTTCTCTAATAAATATATTAAAATAGAAAAATAAGATAAAAAAAATCTTTAAATTATTTATAAGAGAAAAAACAATATTTTAATTATTTTTTTATCAATAAAAAGTATTGAAAAAATAAATGTTTATAAAAAAATTATTAAATATATTTAATATTTTAAAAGTTGGATGTAATTTGTTTTTAAATTTTGACTTTTTTAATATTTTATTTTAGAATATTAAAACATAGTATAGCTATTCGACATGCTATGAGCCTACTCTATTTTATGGTGAGTGAACATGCAGAATGACGAGTTAAGAACATGCACAATGAATACTTTTATTTTACATGGAATTCTCTCAAATGAATTTATACGATTTTAATGTTACAAGTAATAAAATATCAAATTTAGTGTAATATTATTTATCAATACTATTTTTTTTAATTAAATTTTAATATTTACAAAATAGTCGTTATTCACTTTTGATATTTATGTTTATTGTATGTTATTGTGTATAAACATTTTAATAAACTCTTTGGAGAAAACATTTAATTTATTTGATGTTAATATTCAACTAATTTTTCAAAAATAAAGTATTGTTTTTTTTTTTTTTATGATTTGCAGCATAATAACATTTGTAGCACCTTCATTAAATGGAATTTTGCTTTGAATAAATTTATTTTGGAAATAACTACAAACTATAATTTGTTCAAATAATATGATGATAAAGTTAACCGCATTTAATATAAACTATAATTTGTTCAAAACGTATTTTAATATAAAGACAATAAGTTTCCATAAAATCATCATTTTCATAAATAAAAACTTGGTGATCAAAGCACCCATTTTAATATGAAATCAAAACCAAATTTTCACTCTAAACGTGAATAAAGTTTGATATCTAAATATCAAAAACATGGATAAAATTTCATTATCTAAAACACCCAAAATCAAGGATAAGATTCAACACCAAAAACAACATATCGTGGATAATGCACCATACTTAAAACATCACAAAAAACATGGATAATACTTAACAAAACCTTTCGGTGATGGGGGAGACCTATTTTCATCGATTGTGGTGAAACTCAAAGTAAGTCACTCATCAACTTTATCAAGTGGCACCCTAAGGTCACGGTCCCGGTGACTTAACTCTTATCAACTTTCCACCGCAATTTCTAAGTTCCCGGAGCCCAACCCCACACGAGTTCATCTCCTCAATACCCCCGACCTTAATGTCTATGTACACATCGTTGAGTTACACCTATAAGCCAATGATCCTGGGGCTCGACCGAACACACGAGTTCATCCACAAAATACCCTCAATGACTTGGTGTCAACTCTCTTAGCCAAAGCCTCAAAACAAGGGTCTCGGTGCCCGCTCGACTCCTCACGAGTTCATCACCATAAAACCTAGGGTCTCAAAGTCCGATTCAACAAGAGACCCCCTACAAACCACGATCCTGGAGTCCTGCCCACACGAGTTTCTCTCCGCAATACAGACTATGGTCCTGGAGTCTAACCCACATGGGTTCCTCTATATAGTACTAACTACGGTCCCAGAGTCCAACTCATAATAGCTCATCTCTGCAATTCCGCAAAGACCACATAACTTGCTTGCACTAGTCTATTAGTGAGAACATCAAAACTCCTCACTTAACAAAAAAACTGACTCACATGCTTATGGATCCAACAGATTAAAGTATAAATTACATTACTTTAATTGAATGACCAACGAATTCAAAGCATATAATTTGCAAATAAAGATGCAGTAAATGCAAATCATGCCAGACCCAGTCAATGAAAAATTCCAACTGAACAAATATTCCCAAAACTCAAATTAGCCCAAATCAAGCCAATAACACTACACTTATTTGATTACTCAAATGAAAATCAACTTAAGTAATAAAACACATCTAACTCACGTTTATGCAAACACATGCTCTAAAAGTATGATTTGCTCAAACACCCCTTCTTTGTTGAGACAAATCATTTTCAAATGAAACCATACATTTTATATTCCCAAAATACCTAATAGCATAATAATATACATGTCGCGAATGGTTTATAAAACCAAACACCCTAAAAGTGCATTAATCATCAAATTATTGTCATTTATACAATAAATCATCAAAAGAACATAGTCTTATGATTTATTTATCATAATGCCTAAAAAAATCCCCAAATGTGGGCTGGTGTGGAGGAATCTATACCCTCAAAAGGTTATAATAACAAGTAAATCATGCAAGTATACATGGCTTACAAGTATCGTCCAAAGCAAGTAATAATGGTAAGTAATATTCAATATCATTCCACAAAAGATTTAATATGCAAAGAGAGTCACAAAACTTAACTTAAAATGAAATTTCAGAAAAGGGTTTTTGGAAGCAATAAAGCTTCAAAGAGAAAATATCTTTGCGAGAGTTGGTAATCAAATACTGAAATGAAACTACAATTAGAAGGTAATATGGATGCAAGATCAGGTTGGATTTCAGCAACGAAGTGTAATGAATATCGCTCTATAAATAGTTTTTTACAACACTACTGGATTGAACGACCTTCCAAGGAAGTGCATATTAGACCATATGTTGGAAGTGCACTTGGTGATGCATCAATCTCAAACTAGTACAGATCTTGTCTTTCTTTCCATATAGTTTTGAAACCCATTAGATTACGGCGACACTTTATACCCTCTATAACACATTTAGTAACAATATTTGTGTCGTCTTAATTTTAAGTCCAACTCATCTGAATAAAATAACATGCGTCAATTTGTCAAAGATTACCAGATGAAATATTAATACCACTTGTGAATAGCGAAATAAATTACTATTAGCAAAGCAATCATCGACTAACACTTGGCGTAATCTCACAACCTTCACTTACACCTATATTAAGGTATTTAGCCTATATTACTGAATGTAAGTGCTTAAAAGTAATGACATAAATGGAAATGACTGAATGTCAATGATGTAAACGTAAATTCTACACAAAAAGTAAAGAGAAAGCTAGAAAGGTTGTTGTAGTAACTGGCAGTGACGAAGAACACTTAAATGAACTTGTAAATTAATATAAAAAAGTAATAAGGACCCAAAGCTTACATGAAGCTTTGTTCCTAATGATAAAATGAAATTGTTCAAAGTGTTACAAATGTTCATAGGATTACCCCGATATATATACTAGCAAGAGGGAATCAAAAGTACTAGTAGGTAATACCCATTAGTTATAAACCAATGGGTAAAAGAAAAGATGCCTTAGTACACAAGATGTTTTTATATAAAAGTTTAAATATCTTGGCAGTGGCATCTTCCATCTAAATCGTCTGCTATCAGTACTAGAAGATGTCATTCTTCAAAACTTGACTTTTCAAATTATTCAATGGGATTGAGCCAGTTGTCCCTGTGACATCCCATATTTCACATTTGCATATAACATATATTTCATATAAAATAAATACAAATTACACCACATAGGTCCCACTAGTACAAGGTTCTATATATACATAATCTACAAGTGAAAACTTCCAAAAGAATAATCCTGTACTATCACAAGTATGTCTACATGTATCTTCAAAATACTTCAATAAACAGATTGATCTTCAAAAACAGTAGATGAGCATATAAGGAAAATAATCATATTTTCCCCTTCCCTTAATATCCCGAGACCCTGTTGATCCTACAATGCATATTTAAAACATAAAAATGAGGGTTAAACCAGAAGGACTAGTTAGATAACCCTTTTCTTTGCAATTACAGGGTGAAGATCAACAAAATTTATTTAAAAACATCTTTTCACATACAAAGATACATACTCCTTGAAATCTGCATCAATTGTAAAATACAAAGACGCAAGACTCCTCTGGCTCAATAGGTCAGAGCTTGCCTGCTCTTAAGGACCAAAGATCCTCTATCTCTAATGGATAAAGTTCTTTTATTAAACCGTTTATTCTAGTTGGCCAGAGCCTCTGCTCCTACCAACTAGAGTCTCTGCACTCACACTCCAAAAATAACTAAGGCTATCATCCAACTGGAAACTCTCTAGATGACCAAAATCTTTGGTCCAAATAGACCCAAATAGAATTTTTAAGATAACAAGGATCACTAAAATATAACTAGAGCTCCTATGGTTCTTTGTTCTATTTGAAAAAGATTTTTAAAAGTTTTAGACCTGAAATAAAATATAAATTAAGATTCAAAAGACAGAGCTCAAACGCCGAGTTCGGACACCACACTCGGACACAGAGCTCGGACTCCATTCTCGGACACAAAGCTCGGTTGTAAAACTTGAAAATACAACTTTCATGATACAGAGCCTCTGTATATTACATACAGAGCTCCTGGGTCATATTAATTCTGAGAATACTTTAAAAACTATTCGCATGGCCAACTTTATGATACAAAGTCTCTGTATATAGTACATAAAGAGCCTATGGATCTCAAGATTTCTGAAAACACTTAAAAGATTTTCCACACGACCAGAGACCATTTGGTCTTTCTTAAAAGACCAGTTGGTCTTTCTTAAAAGACCAACCAGAGCCCCTCTAGTTCCGATCAAATACTTGTTTCTCTTGATTAATTATAAAATCGAATACTCTAATTTCATTAAAATCATTTGAAATCATAGGCAAATAATGCCTCTGGCTATAAGCTATTTTCCCTTTCTCAATAACATTAATGTTGTTATTTCAATAAGAGTAACATCTCTAAGTTCCCAAGTCATAGAGAAATGTTAACCCAAAGCTATTATCTCTTATTGATACAATAACAAGAGTTATTCAAATGCCACTCTTATCCAGATTTATACATCTTCTTGATATGTCACCCTTATCCCATGGTACACCTCTCCTTGATATGCCACTCTTATCTCCTTCTCAAATCTACAGATAAATCTATAGTTTTAGCCAATAATGGCCTCAAAATAGTTTCATACTGGAACAGATTTTTGTCACAACCGTCCCGTAGAAACATTGTTTCAATTCAGAACAGACTTACGTCACAATTGTCCTGAAGAAACATTTGAAAACTCATTTCTTTCAAAACAGACTTCATGTCACAACCGTCTTGAAAGAAAATCACAACAGTATCTTTTCTAGATTTTTAACCTTATTTGAAAGATACAAAAACACTCTTTTTTAATCACAAATGGTTTGAACACACTTTCATCGGACAACACTGTCTATCTACAGGTTCTTATCAGCCTTAAAATCTTCATAAAATAAACACATACCGACTGCACAATATTATCATCAGCTCCACACAAAAACCGTAATTTTAACAAATCCAAAGATTGTTATTTAAAGCAAAAACTCACCTTATATGATAAAAACAACAACAGAAACTGCTTTAACTTCTAACCCAAATTTCCAGCTTCTAAAATATTTTAGAAGGAACTCACTAACTTTTCTCTCTCTGTTTTTCTTTCCCAAGTTTGAAGATAACCTTTCTCAAAAAGAAATCTCCTTTTCATATTGCCAAAAGAGGCGGTTTGGGAAAATAAATATATAAAATTACTTCTTCTTATCCTTTACAATTCAGGCGGTGCTATAGAAATATTATAAAACTCCCTTTTCATACTAACACCTTATTCATACATAACCTCATGACCATGTATAAAGTTCATGCATACATATATGCATATTTTCACTTCCACAGTTTAGGCAAGCTAGCATATAAAACATGCATACATATGCATATTAACAATCTTATGCATACCTACTTTCACATATATAAATATGCGCATATTCACATAATCAAATAATCACATAAATATTACCTCAAGTGTATAACTAAAACCCGGCTATCATAGTGCCAATATCCAGTGTCCAGTGCTGCAGCAACGTATACACCTGCTACAATAATGTTGATGTCAGCATTTCCTTCACCAAATACATAAAAGAGTTCCATTCATGCATCCTAGCTCCACTAAATGTAAAACCATAAAATAAGGATAAAAGACTCAACATAGGATTGGGAAAAGTGTAAAATGAAGTGAAATAAAGACATAATTGGGTGCTAAAGTGTATGCTTTTGCATACTTATCACACCCCCACACTAAACTGTTATTTGTCCCCAAGCAACTAAAATGACAACTTAAAATGACTCAATACTAGAAATTTGAAAAAAAAAATTGAAGGGAGAAAATGAAAAATCAACTCATAATGAGATTGATAACAAAACAATACCATAACCATGCATAATTCTATGTGATCTCCAATCCTTCTACTTATTTCCATAGGCCAAGAGTCACACTTCCTATTGTTAGACATCTACCAATTGCTAAAAGTCATATCTACCAATTGCTAAAAGTCATAATCATTAGGGCTTTACTGGTTTTCTTCTTTTGAGGCTTAGTGCATTCTTTCTTCCATTAGTCAAGCATTTTTGTAATGCACAAACAGTGTATATACTATGCATATTTGATCTTTTTTGCTTTGACTTGAATATTTTGTACTCTGCAAAAATTTTGAGCTTGTAGTTATTGTCCTATGAACTTTTGATGCATACTAGTACATATGGTACATACACTCCCTCCCCCACATTTGAATATGTCAATGTCCTCATTGAGGATTCTTGAAAGGATAGGGTCATGGGTTCAAAGTGGTTGTGTATGGACTGATGTATAAGAAAGAATGGCCTAAGTCATGTTCCAAAACAGCAAGGTGGAATGTCTATTTGCTTCCCAGGTAGGTGTGCTTGGTTCTAGCCTTAAGTGTTGGAATGGACCTTTAACAACAAAATTAATTGGGATATGATTTGTTAACAGTCAAATAATCTCATAAATTCCTAAAATAAAATTCAAAATTTCCAGACTCAAATGTATATAAAACTGCAAAATAAGAAAATAAAATACTATGGAGTTAAGGGTGAAAGAAATAAACCTGCCCTACTCATTGGGAGTAGGTGGTATTGCATCTTGAGGAATGAGCACCTAGCTTCTCTGATAAGTTCTGGTGGGTATGGCCCAATATTGGCATACTCTTCTGGATGTTCCATGGCTTATTCAGCCTCTATTACTCCATCTCTCCTCATCTGGTAATGCCTTTGTACTGCAATGGGTTTTCTTATTTGTAGCATAGCCCTATCATGTTCTTTCAAATAGGCCAGCAACTTTTGTTCACTCTTCTCTACCTTGGCCTCAAGCTCCTTATTTTTCCTCTCCATTCTTACCATCCAAATGGCATCTCTCTCCTCCAACTTCTTCAATAGGGCCTCCTGGGCTTCTCCATCTCCTTTACTGCATACAAGAATGAATTAGTGACAAGGATAAGTTTTGGTGCTAGTGCTGGTGTAGGCTCTGATATTAGGATCTTCTTTATTTTGATGAAAGTGCCAGTAGCAAAGGCAGGGGTTGTTACAGCAGCAGTCATAACCTATGTTGCAGCAATGGCAGTCTTCTTCATTGCCTTCTATGCATTCTTCTTCACCCTCTTGATTGTTTGTATTTCTATCACAACCTTTCCTGTCATAAACTCACCAGTGGGTAAAAATTGTACCTTTGCCTTGGTCAGCAATGCATGTATCAAGGATGGGTGCCAAAGGTCTCCCTCACTTTTTTCTACAGAAGCCTTGATGCTCTTACAAATGACCTACCCCACACTGAATCTTTTTCTAGTAATTATGAAGTAGAGGATCACCATTCTCTCAAATGTCAAGGTAGTGTCATGGGTGGTTGGCTAGAGGGTGTATCTAAGGAAATAGAACCAAATGCTTAAAATAGGGAGGAGGTCCCTACTGTTTGAGGTTCTAAAAACCTTGTTCTTCCATGTCTTGCTAGGTTGTGCAAGAGTCAAGAGCACCTTCCTGGCGTCCTTGTCAGTGGCATTGGTTACCAACTTATTATATTCACAAGGGGTGGGTGGAATGATACCAAATATGTTTTCAATGATGGCAGGGGCATAACACACATCAGTGCCCTTTACTCTTACTGTATAACCTTTGGATGTGGCAATCTCAACATAAAATTCCCTTACAAGGGAGAGGTTGAATCCAGTAGGTACAACACAAAATATTTCCCATCCTAGCCTGGTAATAGCCTCTTGGATGAATGGTAATTCCTTCAAACTCTCAGGGCTAAAGCTCTAGTCAGCCAGTGCTTCTTTAGAAGCCATATTACCAAAATGGTCATATGCTTCTCTACAACTAAAAGTCCCAACGGAGACATTTATTCTCCCAGACTTGTTTTGATTAGGTGGTAGTGATACTATCTTCCTTCTCTTGGCAACCTTCCTTAGGGTCTTAATCTGCTCAGCCACTGTTGCCTCACTATCTTCCTCAGATTCTGCAGCCATTTCTTCACTATCAACAGTAACATCCTCATCCTGGGAATCATCATCCTGAAAACTCTTCTCTTCCTCCTCTTCGTAATCAGAGTAATTTACTATCCCTTTTCTTTTTTCTCTTCGAACATCAACATTTTTGGTGGCATCGTTCACCACATTCACAGTCTCTTTTTCCCTCTCTATTGGATGTGATTGTCCAATCAACATGGTTTCAGGGCTGATTTGCTTGAAAGAAAACCACAACATTATCCTTTCCAGATTTTTAACTTCTTCCCACCCTCTCTAGTCATGACCTACTGAATTGTGTGAAGAACTGCATGTTCTCAAGAAGTGACCCCTTTATGTCGTTGAGTATGGTCACAAGTTCAAACCCATTCACCTGTCCAACACCCTTCTCTCGGGTTCAATGCTAATTTTGACTTGGATGCAGCTTGTATTTGTGAAAACTCAAAACATGAAATTTGTAAGCCCGTCTGTTGGATTTCCAAAACATCTTGAATCTCCTTAAACAAAGCTTGGATGAGTGAGATATGATCGAAACTCCACAACCTCGTAAATCTGTCAATTTTTTGTTGGATTTTGATTAGCACCTATTTGATGGAATTTATTCTAGTGATCTCAATAGTTTATGGCGTTTCTTTATCATTTCTTGGTGTGGGTACTTTAAAATTCTAGTTAATATCGTCAATATTTCTTGGTTTTTTGTATGTGATTTTGCTTTTATACGCTTTGTTATTGAAAACAGGATGGATAATGAAGACCTTGAAATGTTTGGGTCTTTTTGACATAGGTATGGAATCGTATGATGAATCAATGGAACCCATAAAAATCGAGGGTTAGTTGGAAAGAGAATGTAGTAAAAACCTTCTCGGAATGTTGTCTACAAGAGATGTCTGAATGGAATGCAAGCCGGTAGCCTTAAGATGCACTCATGGAACAATATAGAGGAAACATTATAAAGAACTCACAACTTTATTGTCAATCAAAGACAAATGAAGAATCACTATGATTATTTACGAGGGAAATACGTTGTATGGTCTAGACTAAGGAATAATATGGGCAATGTCTATAACCCAACAAACAACACATTCAATCTATCTAAATAGGAGTGGAAGGCAGAGGCAAAGGTCAATTCTTTTCCTGGTTTTCTAATTTAATTTTCTTATATTTTATATACAGTTGAGTAAATATGCTGAAAAGTTGAGAATGCACCACTACTTTATCTTAATCTTTGTATGCAAGTTTTTGATGGAGTAGCGGCCATGGGTATGGGGACTTGGGGACCTTGGTCTAATTCTCAACCCATCGCGTGCTGCTAATGTTTATAACCCGCCTTTAGTTGTTGATGATCAAGGCTTGGATACCACACAAGCACCTCCTATTTCAAATCAAGCTTCTCCTGTTTCAGCTTAAGGACCACCTGATTCAACTCAAGGACCATCTAGCTCGACACAAGAATGTTCCTCTCGTTCTCAAACCAGAAAATGAAAAGCTAATTAACCATTGGTAAGGGAAGATGAGTTGGCTCATGTGGTGACACATGCGAAAACCATTTTTGACAAACCATCGGAGGACGAGGATATGGATGCTTGTATGTCGAAATTGAAGAAACTTGGCTGGGAAGATAGCCCGTTGTATGACATCATACTTTTTCTTTTTAGCCAAAACATAGAGTATAGGAGAATTTGGCTATGTTTGAAGGACAAGAGGTGTGAGTCATGGGTTAACTTTACGACACCCCAACTTAACTTAAAATAAGCAGATGATGTTTGATATTGATGCGGTATTTAGACCGACGTTGTATGAACAAGTATGAAATTTCGTCACTTTTTGATGTTTTGTATGGAGGAGTATGAAACTTTTATCATTTTTTGGTGTTTTGTATGGACGAGTTTTGGAACTTTAATATGTTCATTTGATATTATGTCACTCTTTAGTGTTGATTGTTTAACTTGATGTTTTTGTTGTTCAAATTGTATGTTAAAGATCTATGTCATGTATGAAACATAATACGATGTTTTTTGTATTTCGTATTTGCTAGGTTATATGGATCGTAATCAATTAATGATGGTTGTGGTGATTGCATATTGGTATTTGAGAAGAAGAGTTGAAGCAAGAATAGAAAGAAGAGAAAGAATAAGAGATAACAATCTAAATTTGACCGGACATGCATATACACAAGAATTATTACGTGGGTCTAATACACAATGTCATGAATTGATGCGTCTATCTCGTGATGCTTATATACTATTGTGTAACCATTTTAAACAAAACAACTGGTTGCAATCCAGTAGTCGTATAATTGTTGAAGAGAAAATGGCAATGTTTATAACTATTATTGGTCATAATGAACGTTTTAGAATGGTTAAACGGAGATTTCAACATTCCACACGAACTATTCATATATGTTTTCATGAAGTGCTAAATGGAATGATGAAATTCACAAGAGAAGTCGTAAGACCAACATCCTTCGATGAAACTTTGAATATGTCAGAGAGAGTCAGAAACCTCAAAGAAATATTTTCGGTATGTTAATTGTTTTGTTAAATTGTAAAACATGAGAAGTTCTCATAATATTGTTATATATAATTTATGGTTTTCTTACAGGGTGCTATAGACGCACTAGATGAAACTTTGATACATGCAGTTGTGCCCATAAATCAACAAGCAAGATATAGATGAAGAGGTGATAGTTTTCAAAATGTTTTGGCAATGTGTGATTTTAATATGATATTCACATATGTTTGGGCTGGATGGGAAGACATTGCACATGATGCTAAAGTTTTGAGAGAAGTTGCATTTGACCCAAATTCGAGATTTCCATTTCCATTTCCTTCACCAAGTATGTATCATCCTTTTTATAATAGTGAATTATTATTATCATTTTTCTGTCTTCTTTTAAGTATATTTGTAAATGCAGATATCTCTATGATGCTGCATACCCGAATACCCAGGGATTTTTGACTCCATATCGCAATAGACGGTATTGGTTAGCTGATTTTCGACGCCGACATGCGGTAACTAAAGAAGAAAATTTTAACCATGCACATGCACAACTTAGAAACATTATTGAACGTGCATATGTCGTCTTGAAAGCAAGATTCCCAATTCTGAAGCAAATGAGTTATTATCCTTATCCAAAACAAATAGAGGTAGTAGTTGCTTGTTTTGCAATCCATAATTTCATAAGAAGACGTAATATCCAAGATCAACTGTTTATGCAATATGATGAGAACGCCATGTTTACTGCTGAAGAGCAATATGGAGGAAGCATTGGAGAAGAAGTCGTTGAAGTATGGGGGCTTCTCAAGACAATAGATATATGGCTAATCTACGGGGTCAGATTGCGACTCAGCTGTTTTCAAATGCTTCAAATTAATTTTTCTTGTCTAGGATGAAAAACAAACAATTTCTTTTGGTATTAACGTTTCATATCCCGTTTGTATTTAAGCATGAACGACTAATAATATATATATATATATATATATATATATTTTTTTAATTTGAAGTATGAAAATTGTATTTTGTTCTCATATTGAAAGTTAATTATATGAAAATAAGTAAAATGATATTATTTTTATTGGTAAGCATTTATTTAACGTATGCAATTTTTTTTCTTCCATTAAACTATTAATAACAAAAATAATCATATATTATTCAACATATAATTACAAATATGGTTATAATGGTCATTGTATTGTTGGTAAGCACTTACCAAAAGCATTTGATAAACACTCTTAACCGGGACAGCACTTACTCGGGTTAAACACTCTTAGCCAGACAGCACTACCCGGTAAGAGTTGGTAAACGGCCCCTAAGTGTCCACAATTGCAATGACATAGCTATAGACATGAATAATTATTACATCTTTTAGTTAATCAATTGATAACTTTATAATACATCTATCATATCAACTTTTAAATATTTATGATTAATTAAGGACATATTTGGATATTTAGTTATCTACTTTTTAAAAGTGGACATTTATTTTGACACAAACATTAATAAAAATATACACACTTATTTTGGAACTAAGGACCGTCTTTTTATTCTTCTTACTTTCTAAATGGGGAAAGAAAACAAAATGTTTTACCATGGCCACTTTTATACTTAACCTTCACATGATGGAATCGTCGTAACACATAGTTTCGCCGTATAAAGAAAGGACCAACTACTTGTATGCCAGGTTCAAAATTGTGAAAATGCATGTATGCATATAAAAGTAGACATTTTATTCTATCATTCTCCGTATAAAAAACCGTATTTTTGAAAACGGGTAATCCCAGACTATTCTCATGACAAGTGCCGGTTGTAGGTTTCGCTCACATGTCTAGTGACTTCGACCAAATACCCTTGCTACATATAAATGGGATCTTTCAACATTCAAAAGCAAACTACATAATGTATGGTGCAAGATTACATAAGACAAAATATAAAATGTATACATTTTATGTTTGAGGTCAATCATAGGGTTTCCAAGATATAAAAACTATCTTACAGAAATGACACCAACATTATTCTATTCACAGTGAGATGTTTGCAATTCTAGTGTAGTTTTGAATGGTTTCGTATTCATATATATTATCAGTAACGGTAGTCGGTTCGACCTCAAAGGATGCATCATATGCGATTTACGGGAGCTTTAAGGGAGGTAAGGTAGTTTGCATCTGCTTTATTAATACCATGATAAAGATAATTGAAAGGAGGCATTGATATGTACCTGCCAGATCCAGGAACTACTTTCAGTTCTTCATTTTCCCATACAATCCTTCCCCCAGCAATTGTTACCTCAACCTTCCCCTGACAATTATTGAGAACCATATATTTTATATATACATATATAAGTAGGTATATCTAACACTTTCAAATAACAAGAAAACCAAATTAACCCAAATCACATCCTAAATTAACTACAAAATATATGGTGTTCTTTGGGAGAGTAAGAGGCCGTTTATCAACACTAACTGAGTAAGCAATTAACTTACCCGTAAAAATTCTCAGTCACTAAAATAGTATATAAGCGTCTCTTGCCTAGTAAGAGCTAACCATATAAAATTCACTACTCATTTACTGGGTAAGATTCTTGGTCATCAAAATATCACAATATAAGCGTCTCTTATCTGGTAAGCGCTAACCAGGTAAAAGTCACCACCCTCATTTACCGGGTGAGATTCTCGATTAGTAAAAATGTATTAAAATGACCCGATAAGATTGTTGGCAAAAACCATCATCTCTTACCCAGTAAGTGACAATAAGTGTTTACTAAGCAGTTCCAAAGATGCAAATGAAAAGGTTTGAATGTTTCAAATTAAGAGCAAGATACGAGTTTTAACTTAAACTAACTTTAGTTTTAATATTTGCATGTTGAACCACAAGGGCTCTTAATCATGCAGCTATCAAATAATAAAAGTAGACCTAGTGCACCAAGGCTCCTGCATGTCAGTGGAACGATGCTCCATGATTCAACATTCACATTGAAAAAATTTTGCACGATGATCCTGATATACTTGAAAATATGTAGTCTATATGTGTATGGTTGGAATCAATCATGCAAGTGGATAGAGTTGATATCATTTGGTCACAGTTAAGTTTTATGGGGTCAGTATATCGCTATACCTAAAAATGCAATTTGTAAAAAACCAAATGGAATTACCTTCCCTGATCTTCCCTCATAGACATTTGTATCTGATCTAGAATGATGAGAATGGGCACTAATCTGAAAGGTTGAATTTGGATTGAATATGATTATATCCGCATCTGATCCAGCAAGTATAGCCCCTTTTCTCGGATATATATTAAATAACTTGGCACTGAAAAATTCAAACTTTATCTCAATCAATCCGGAGTTGGTTTGAATCAGTTTCTAAACATAAAACAGCATCTTCTAGATTCTAGAAAATTATTGAATAAATAGAGAGATCAAAAATGATAATACAGTAGACATAGGAGGAAATTGTTTTACCATTCTGTACTTGTTACACGGACATAGTCAGTTGCAGATATTTGGCCAGATTCCTGGAAGCACCAAGTAGAAAACCAATTTATGTGGATATTGAACTGAAAAGATTCTATACAGATTAAGAAATGAATTGACTTTATCATACCACCATTGTGTCCCAAACAAGATGCATCCTTTCCTCAAGACCTGTGTAATTGTTAGTATGTAGCTCAGTTAAAAAAATTCATGTTTAAGCCATGAGAAAGGACTCGGGAGGCACTAGAACCTGTATTTACCATTGACACCATTTGGTATTTTGCGAAAATCATCAATTCCAAGAGATTTCTGTGTAGAATTGAAAGTGCAGTGATCTGTTCCTACAAGCTGCAAAATTAAAACAGCTATGTAACCATAGAGAAACATATGTTCATTCCAAATACAACATGTACTTTAGAGGTCATGTATGATTATGTATGATTTGGTGTAGAATGTAACGACCTTTTGACAAAAATAACCATTTTACGCTTTCAATACACAATTTGATAAATTCACCTACTTATAAATTAATTTAACATTAATTCTGAATTAATAAGTCGGATTTAATTTTCTTTTGTCCAATTAAATAGTATATAATTTAAATATAAATTTTAAAATCAAAAAGTAAAAATCCCTAACCCTACCTTGAAACACCCTGATGACTCTTTATCTCTCTACTCCCAACCAAATCCCTAACCCTAACCCTAACAAATTGCCAAACTGACAACCCTAACAGCAGCCAAAGACAATGGCAAAGAAACAGAGGGACAAGCAGTTGGACCAGGGTGGATGGGATGATGGAGCAGTAGCTGAATAGGGAAAATGTGGAATATTGGAGCGCTGAATGGGAGGCCTTCGCCTTTAGTCCCGGCCGATTCGGAGGCTTGTTGATCGATTCAAAGGTTTCTTTTTACCAAACAACACCCACATCGAACCAAATCAGATGTGGGTCTGAATCAGATGATTCAGTGGCAAACAAACAGCCCCTAAATTGCCCTAAGGTAGTGCCAACCCAATCTTTGTTGACCCCATACGGACCACTGGATCTGAGCTATGTTGTTACAGTGGTCAAAATTTGAAATAGCAGTCAGGACCGTGATTTGATATAGCGGTTATCACGATGGTAAAGCAGTGGTATAACCCTCCACATATAGCGGTTCATGTAATCATTACAATTATATATAAATGTATGAATAGATGCATAACATAATATATATTTTGAAGACGAACATAAGAACAGGTAAATAGAAGAGATGAGCAATCAATATTGGAAGACAATGTTGTTGTGAAGAGAAGATGCAAAATATAGACTGAAATAGAAGAGATGAGAGAGGAATAGCAAGTTTACACACCAATATTGCAAATAAAAATCACCCCCTACCTCGTAATCCCTTAATCGACTTCTCTAAACCTTTTAAAAGGCCAACTTAAGGCCCAACTCCTAATTGCGGTTTTCACACCTTGCAAGTCAAGATTGCGGCCCAATTGCGGTGATTAGCGCCGTTATTAGCGGAACCGCTATAACTCTAGGACTGCTATAGCATCGCTATTTCACCGCTATAGCACTGCAATTAACAGCATAGTCTATGAGTCACTTTCATCGATAATACATTACAAAATTAGTTCTTAGATGCCAAGGGGACAAAATATTAAACTAGACAGTCATAGGAAATCAGCCAAGTGTGCTTATCCTGTATGCTTGTAAAACGTAAACATTAACCAGTTTGTGTCAATAAAACCTTTAGAACTCCAGTAGATAATGCTGCTTGAAGTGCTTTCCCATGCCCTAATGCTCTTATTGGAGGGCTCATGACAAACCTAAAGGAAAACTCGGTTATTCAAATTAACAACTGAAAGAATGATATTTTTTTAAAAGGAAGCAGTAAATTATAAAAGGATAATCACTTGCTTTGCTGCTGTTACGAAATCAGGATCCCAGAGGACAGAATCATCAAGAATTAATCCAGAAACCACAGGCTCTCCAATAACTTTTTGCCCTGTAGTTCAAAAGAAATAGAAAAGGTAAGATAATTGTAATCCTGCAATCTTCTAAATTGGGAACAAACAAAGCATCAAATCCATAAGAGCTGCCATCACTTCTCCTACAAATCAGGATATGGTAACAGAAAGCATTGAGAGACCTCCATCTCAAAAAGAGTTCCAATTTGATATTTGATGTTATACGACTAACTTCCAACTATTATAGAGATGAAATGATTGATATTGTTAGGAAAACTCGATAAGTGATGTAAAATGTTAAGAATGGGAACTTAAAATTTGTGACATGTACATTGATTTTGAATTGGAAAGTGTATACATGTCTAAAATAGGAGTATGCATTTCCACAAGGTGATGTGCACCACTTACTACCTACCCAGCATAATTACTTGCACACAAATATTCTGAGTTCACGTCAGCAGTAAAGATGCTATAGCTGCCGCATGATGTAATTAAGGAATTATTTTATGAAAAAGAAAACATGTGGCGCTGTATTCTAGTCAAACAGCCAACTAAGTACGTTTACCATCTGCAATACCTCCGGGAAGCCATGCATATTGAAATAAGAAATTTTTGAGTAAAATCTTCTCATCTAAATGAAGAATTTTGTTTTTCTCTAGTTCATTTTCTTTAAGATTCTATATAATCTTCTTGGGTGTTTTTCTTTTATGCAAGAACACTAGCATTTCCAATAACCAGATGTACTACTTTAAGTTTGTTAAATGAGTATGCTATATGTTTTTCAGTCAAATTTTATGAGGCTTAACAAGGATTTTTATTTGGGGAGCAAAATAACTCATTACCCCTTTTTCTCATGATAAATTACAAAAGAGAATACTATAAATGTCCATAACATTAGCTTTGGAAATCAAGATTAATAGATAGATGCTTAAGAAAAAAGGATAGCAAAAAGATGACAGATAGTTAGAGGTATTCCTATAAATATTGTTAAACCTGTTTTTAAATAATATATATTATATTAATTAAACAACACTGCTTCATCGAAAATACCCAGAAAATGACAAACATTACATGAAGATGAGTTTGCCTTGTAATACAATAGTTTCTATCAGATTGAATCAATTCATTTGTTCTTGCAGAATCTTCACTAACCACAGACTGACTAATTGGCTACTAAAGGCTGCTGCTAACTATTGGTACAATCCAGTAGTTTTCCAAACTGTGGTGTTCATGTGATATTTCAAAATAATCTATCAGCTGCAGTGGAAATATGCCTACTTACTGACACATCACCAAGAAGGTGAAGCAAAGGATTGATGAGATGTATGTTTAAACCATAGCTAAAGTAGGGGTTGATGGTTAAGGGAAATTTTGAGACTGGAGTACACAGTGATGAAAGCTTTTCTGTACAATGATTTGCTTAGGTTGCCACTCATCATTAGCCATTTTATTGGCTGGACATGGAAGTGTAAGAAGGAGATAGTATATTTAAGACATGGGGTGAAAAGGCCTCATAGGGTCCTAGGGACGAGGTGCAAGGCAAGAGACATGAGTCATCTGAGTGAGGAACATGTCTTTCAAATAGTTCATACACACAAACACACTGAAAGAATCAATAAAAGGGGTTAAAAGGCATAAGTACATATTTAAGTTATTAACGAATCAACTAAAATTAATTTATAATTATATGATTGAGATCAGTACTACCGTTATCAATAATATATATGCTTATATGTGAAGTATATATATATATATATATATATATATATATATGTTTGTGTGTATATTCATATATGCATCTATGTACGCATAGGTGTATATTGTGTGAAGTTCAAATCATTGACCTTTAACTAAAAAGCATCAACTGAAAATACGTAGGCAGAAACAGGGGATGGGGCCAGATTTATCCATTTACCATTAATATTCACATCAATTAACACTTGCATTAGTTAATCACTGACAAGTAACATCCAATCATTTATAGAGAACGCCATTGATATTAAATTTAAACATCAACTTTAACAGTATATTACCACTGACATTCCATTAACCTCTACACGATAAACATAAACAGAAGCTACGAAAAGTAAAGGGATGAAGATGCACAAGTAGACATGAAGTGAGGAAGAGGGAGTGACCCGATAGAGTAGGCTAGAATGACAATTGAAAATTTATTTAAATCAAAAGGACCTGAGACAATATCTTTTGATTCAATACAATGGTTCATAAGATGGAAATGATTCTAGTACATTGTGTCTCAAACACAAAGGCGCACACCCCATCAAAGTTGAAGGGCCTCACCGGAGGCATGGCCTCAAAGGTATGTCTTTGATGGACCTTGCACCGAGGAGTACGGTACACTCAAGCAGACCCTTCACAGGTATGTGCATTCCTTCTTTAGTGAAAATATCCGAGTATCAGCCCATCCCTGGCATGTACTTACAAAAGTTAACCTGTGTTTGACATTTGGTTTGGGAGCTTGATGGTTTCTCATCTTCTTTGATGTAGATGCAATATGAGGCGTTGAAGTGCATTTTCATGAACCATAACTTTCATGATGAAACAAACATATTTTAGTTGATTTTCATTTGCTCATAAGATGGTTGATACTTCTTACGAGCCTCTTTCTATTGAGCCAATTTAGGTCCACTCAAGAGACCCAATATCTTGAGTAAGCTCTTCCTTAGGGCTCAGCGTGATACATATGTGCAATTTTGGCACGTTTGACATTAATGCTCTACCTTCATGATTGTTACCTATATAATTTTATATATGTTCTATGCTTTCTAGAGTTTATATCTCAATCCATTAATGTGTCATCTACATTGTTCTAGGTCTCTTTCCCTTTTCATTTACAAACCTGATTTTTGAGCCCGTGCTATTTCTTCCATTGCATCAGAGCTCATGACATGAACAACGTACAACGGTGTATTCACAAAAGCGGCCAAACGAATTGCTCGAGCTGTAGCCTCTCCTTCCAGCTGCAAGAACATTGACCAATGTTACCAAAAGAAGAATTAGTTTTTCCTGGGCAGCAATGAATCTGGTCCAGGCATAGAAAATTAGTGCATTACAAGATGATACTAATCAAGTAAAAGCTCCATGCTTGTCTTTCAAGAAATTGAGAAAATGAATGGCAAAAACTCATTTAAAGACGAGAAGTATCTTATGGGGCACATGCTATTCTAGTGAAGAGAATATAGCACACTTTAAATTAAAGCAAGGTATAAAAGATGTGAGGCTCATGGTGAATACCCAGAGGAAGGGATATTAATCGAGGCTTAATAACCACTTTTATTCTTGCAAACACTTGAGAATGTTTGAGGAAGTTCGATCCAAGATCAATGGAGGCACACTTAACATATGGATGTGAGACGGGCTGACGTAAATGTAGTTATTGGCATAATTTGGGTTCTCCAGCAATTTGTTTTCAGGAAAGGGAGCATACCAAAGGCAGGTTGAAATTTCGTGATTCAATAAATGGATAGAGTCACATCCTCAATGAATTTTGTTCTAGTAAAAGTCAAAATGGATGATATGTCTCGTTACTCCTTGACCTTACATGCATTTGCCAGTTTGAACCTATTGTACTAATGGGTGATGGCTTAGTTATCCAAGAACGGAGTTTGAATATATCATCGCTGTTGCATTAAGGAGTGATGATTTGGTGATAGAAGGGAGTTTGAACCATTATTACTGGTACTGTACTAATGGGTGTGGTTTAGTGATCCAAGAACAGGGTTCAAATACATAAACGGTGTTGCATTTAGGGGTGATGATTTGGTGATAGAAGGGAGTTTCGTATAAGCAACAGGAAGACTTGAATATATATATATATATATATATATATGTGGATTGGATGTTGAAAACTGTGATACCCAACCGCACATCGATTTCTGGCATTTCAGTGCTGATCTATCGTAACAAATGGCACGATAGTGCCCAAGGATCGTGAGGGAAAGTTGGGACTTGGCACATCTCTGATGCTATCCTGAGATTCTATCATGACATGTAGCAGGATCGCAGGCACAACCACACAGGACCCCCTGCGATAAATCTAGACCTAGGGTTCCCTGTTCTGTAAGTTCTTCAGTTCTTTCTTCTCATTGGCAATTTTGGGCAGATGTTTTGGTGACATTTGAAGAGTTTAACCTTGTGATTCTTGATCATTGTTAAAGGTAAACTCTATTGCAATCTTCCCTCTGTTTGATCGTCAAAATACAAAGTTTTGTCCCTCCTATGTGGATGTACACAGTCTCATGATAGTGGAACCACATAATCATCGTATTGTTTGTGATTTCCTTGCATTTATTTGTTGGTTATCGATATTGTTGTGCATTATCATCTTGGTTTGTACCTTTGAATATATCGGGATCCAAGTATATCCATATTGTTGTTGCATCTTCACTTACACACATTTGTTAGCATTGACTTGGGCCTTGTGTGTGTTTGGTTTGTGAAATTATCTCCAACACTCTATACTTTCATTCCTTTGAAACAAAGTTAGAACATTAGGTTCAACTGTTCCGAGCAAACAAGTAATTTATATGCAACTGACCACTCTACTACTGAGTTGTTGAGGAACAGCAGATGAGTCTTTAATTGTACAATGAATGAGAACAATTTGTAATCATCCGATTTAATATTTGATCATTGGTGTACATTAGATTTACTAGCCCTTGCTGCATCAGTAGGGAGCATAAACAAATCTTTGTTGAATGACCACCTTTTGATGGCCATGAAATGACTTCGCTGTTAAGGAAGAAAATCCCACTCATCTCCGTCATTTTATTCCCCCCCCCCCAAACTTTAACACAAAATTATCAGAAGGTTCTGCCCGGTTGAGTATGGAAGGCATATGTAACACCTGTGCACCATTATAGGCAACTAAAGGATGAAGGTAATTCAGTACTAGGATCCTTTCACAGTATATACAGTGGAATCTTCCGATCAAATGCATCAATGATCTACCAATGACTATGCTAACATAAACAAGCTGTCGTAAATTTAACATCTTGAATGCCAGGGAAGGTAATGAGTAATGATGGATCCAAATAGAATCACAATTCCATTAAATCACCATATGAATAAAAAACCCAACAGTAAAGCTTGAAAAGAAGAACCTGCACTACCAACATGTTTTCAAGTATCCTTGGAGAGGCAAAAAGGTAAAAACTAAGGTGGCGTTTGGTTCACAAAATGTATTGTCAAGAAATTAGAGAAAGCGATAGAGAGAATTTTGGAAAATTAAGAAATTGAAGGAATCTCATTTTTACGAAATTGGGATTATCTTTACGAATGAGGATAACCTAACGTATTTATAGGTAATGGTCAAGACACGCAATCAGAAAAACAAAACTAACTAATTCAATTAAAGCCACATCTAACAAATCTCCACCTTGGCTTTAATTCTAGTACAGAAAAATTTTACTTCCAGCTATCAATGTTTAGGAGATCTAAACAATGCCTAAACTTATTTAAAGAAACGAGTTTCGTCAATGCATCAGTTGGATTGTCATCAGTCTTCACTTTAATTCTCCTTTCTAACGAACATCTATATGTTTCGTTCTCTCATGATGACCTGGTCTTTTGCAAGACAAAGAGCACTCAGGCTGTCACAAAAAACTACAGTCTGATCTTGATGAAACCCAAGATCTCCAAGCAAACCTTTCAGCCAAATCCTTTCTTTTGCAGCCTTCGTAAGAGCCATATATTCAGCCTCTGTTGTAGACAAAGCAACAGACGGCTGTAACGTCTCTTTCCAGCTCACTAAGGCATCTCCAACAGTGAACACACATACCGTTAATGACCTCCGTGTGTCAAGGTCAGCTGCATAATCAGAATTCGAAAATCCAGCCACAATACAATCTCCTTCTCCATAAATGAGACCTACATCAGCTCTGCCTTTGAGATGACGAAAAATACGTTTCATGGCAACCCAACGTTCTTTCCCGGATTAGCCATGTAACGTGAAACAACGCTAACAGCATGAGCTGTGTCAGGTCTAGTGCAGACCATGACGACATACACAAGACTTCCTACAACATTAGAATAAGGAACTTTGCTCATATACTCCATCTCAGCCTCGGTTTGAGGTGCCAAAGCCACTGACAATCTGAAATTTGCCGATGAAGATGTGCTCACAGGCTTTCCAGAAGCCATACCAAATCGAGAAAGTATCTTCAAAATGTAACTTTTCTGTGACAAGAAAAGTTTACGTCTAGATCTATCTCGGATAATCTCCATACCGAGAATCTTTCGAGCAGCCCCCAAATCTTCATGTCAAACTCAGAATTAAGGAGTCCTTTTAACTTCTTAATTTCAGCCATATCACGAGCCCCTACTAACATAACGTCCACATAAAGTAGCAGATACACATGTGACCCATCAACACCTTTCTTATGATATATACATCAATCATAAGGGCTTCTAGTAAAACCATGACTCACCATAAAGCTGTCAAAACGTTTATACCACTGTCTTGGAGATTGGTTTAACCCATAAAGAGATTTCTTGAGCTTACAAAAATAGTTTTCTTTACCTTGAGCTACAAAACCCTCCGATTGACTCATATAGATTTCCTCTTCAAGCTCACCATGTATGAAAGCTGTTTTGACGTCCAATTGTTCCAACTCCAAATTTGCTTGTGCTACTAGTGCCAACAACACCCAAATGGATGTATAATGCACCACCGGCGAGAAAATTTCATTATAATCAACCCCTTGCTCTTGGGTATTAACCTCTAGCCACCATACGTGCCTTGTATCTCACACTTTCAGCTCCTGGCAGCCCCGTTTTCCGCTTAAAGATCCACTTACAATTCATAACTTTTCTACCTTGAGGTAAATTTACTAACTCCCAAGTTCTATTCTTGTGAAGGGATTTCATCTCTTCGCTCATGGCTGCTATCCACACATCAGCCTCCTTCGTTGTGATTACTTCTTTGTAAGTAGATGGCTCAAAGAACTCCATTTCTTCAGCAACTTGTAGAGCATAGTCCACCATGTCATCAAAACCATATCGAATTGGCCTACCAACTTGTCTTCGGGGCTTATCTAATGCTATAGATCGAAATTCTACAGGTTGGTGCTGATTTTCAGGCACAACAGGTTCTGGTTGAGGCGAGTTACTGCGCAGCAATATTCTCGCCTTCATCAGGACCATTTAACTCGTACTCCACGTGTTCGGACAACTTGCTCGTTAAAGACTTGGTCATGTAGAGACTCTCTAGTTTCTGCCATAAGGGACGCAGCAATCTCCTCATTGGCGACTTCATAAATCACCTCATTTGCCAAAGACAACAAGATGGTAGAGTGAGTCTTCTCATCTTGTTGTGCAAACTCAAATTCAGCCATCCCTTCAGGCCTTTCACCAGCCAACGGAATCCAGATGCCTTGTTGTTTTAGGAGAGCTCTCATCTTTATTCTCCATAAGTTGAAGTTGTTCTTTCTTGAAACTTGTCTATCTTGATCATTTGTGGAGGCATTTTCTGGAAATCTTGAAAGAACTATGGTACAAGATTCAATGTTGAGCAATCAAGAACAAATATCCAAACTAATTTTCAAAAGAGTCGACAATTTCTAAATTGGCTGTTAAAAATCGGTAATCCAAGAAATTGATCCCCAAAAATCGATCGTTCAAGAAATCAAAACATCAGGTTCGATTGTTGGACACAAGTCGATACCATCAATTGAAACACTCAACAACGAAATCGATTGAAGAAGAATCACTTTAGACCGATGAATTGACGCGATTTAACTGTTGTTGCCGTTTTCCTCAAATTGACTGCTGAATCTGTCGATTTACACCATCAATTTCAGAATCGAGAAGCTCCACCTTGAATCGAACACCAAAATAGACCCAATTGATTGCCCACATAAAGACGATTAACGAAAGCAATGAAGCGATTTCAGAAAACGAGTCGACTTGATCAATCGCAGAGAACAAGAACCGAAAGAAAAAAAGATCCAGAACCAATAAAAGCATTCCTTTGCTCACCACACTTTAATACCAGTTTGTCAAGAAATTAGATAAAGCGATGGAGAGAATTTTGAAAGAATTGAGAAATTAAAGGAATCTTATTTACGAAATTGGGATTATCTTTACAAATGAGAATAACCCAACCTATTTATAGGTAACAGTCAAGACACGTAATCAGAAAAACAAAACAAACTAATTCAATTAAAGCCACATCTAACATGTATTTTGATGGAATGGAATCTGTCAAAGGAATTTGACTTTCAAGGGCGTCTCGTTCGCAGATTGTAATGGAATTGGAATCTTGAATTCCATTGAAGAAATTCCATTCCCACGTTTGGTTCATTCTTTTTTACGAAAGGAATCTTCAAAATCCTACAAATTCCACAAATAAAGGAATTTAGCATTCCTTAGCAACTACATGGTATTTTGATGGAATGGAATTCTCTATTTTCATAATATCAAATATGCCCTTAACCCAATATACCCTAATCTCATAAAACCCAATATGACCATCATCGACCACGTTCGACCAGCGCCGATCTGAATCACCGCCGACCACCGCCATCTGAACCACCGCCGACCACCACTCATCTGAACCACCGCCGACCGCCACCGATCTTGAACCACCGTCGACCACTATCGATATGAACCACCACCGATCTAATCCACCGTCGATCACCGCCATCTGAACCACCGTTGATCTGAACCATTGTCGACCATCGTCATCTGAACCACCATGGACCACCATCGATCTGAACCACCGCCAACTACTACCGATTTGAATCACCGCCGGCCACCGCCGATCTGAACCACCCCGACCATCACTGATCACCGATTTGTACAACCACCGATTTGATCCATCGCCGATCTGAACCACTACTGATCTGAACCACATCCGACCACCGTTACCTTAAGCACCACGGACCACCACCGATCTGAACCACTACCGACCACCACCGATCTGAACCACTACCGACCACCACCTATCTGAACCACCGCCGGACACCGCCCGTTTGAACAACCACCAATCTGAACCACTGCTGATGTGAACCACCATCCATCTAAACCACCACTGACCACCTCCATCTGAACCACGGCAGGCCACCATCGATCTGAACCACTGTCGACCACCGCCATCCGAACCACTATGGACCACTACCGATCCGAACCACCGTGGACCACCACCGATCTGAACCAGTGCCGACCACCGTTGATTTAGTAACATCATTTGGCTTATGGTTATATTTGGGTTGTGTATTTTATATTGTTTTACATATTAAATAAATTATTTTATTGAAGTATTTTTATTTTTAGAAAAATTAAAATTTTCATTAAAGGACATTTTGGTCATTTACCAACATTTCATTCCAATTCCAAAACTACATTCTGTGAACCAAACAGACATATTCCAATTCCTTAACAGATTCCATTCCAATGTCTGCCAACCAAACAGGTGGTCAAACCTGACAGCACTCCATTCCAATTCCTTCAAAGTCAAATTCCTTTAACAGATTTCATTTCATCCAAAAACATTCTGCGAACCAAACGCCACCTGAAGGAATTGGAATGGAATGTTGTCAGATTTGACCACTTGTTTGGTTGGCAGACATTGGAATGGAATCTGTTAGAGGAATTGGAATCTGTCTGTTTGGTTCACAGAATGTAGCTTTTGAATTGGAATGAAATGTTGGTAAATGACCAAAATACCCTTTTTTGAAAAATAAAAAAAAATCAAACTAAAGATACTTTAATAAAATAATCATTTAATGTGTAAAAAGTATAAAATACACAACATCCCTAATGACACACAAACACATAAACAAATTAGAACAAAAGTTTATTAATGCAAGAACAAAAATTGAGCAGAAAAAAATCGAGTTTGAGGTAGTCATCATAAAGAAATCGAGCAGAAAAAAATTGAGCAAGAAAAAAAATTGAGCAGAAAAAATAAAATAGAAAAATCTATTATTAGTAAAAACGAGCAGAAAATAACGAGTGAATCGAGCAGGAAAAAAGGAGCAGAAAAAAACCGAGTAGAAAAATCTGTTATTAGTAAAAACGAGCAAAAAAAGGAGTAAATCGAGCAAGAAAAAAACCGAGGAGAAAAATCTGTTATTAGTAATGTAACGCCCGAAATTTTCGTTACTATCTTTTATTTTGAGTTCATCTATAAATGTAGTCCTTTAGTGCTTAAGCTCTATTTGAATGTTTCTTGGTGTTTTAGTGTTGGCGCTTCAAAACTCAAGGAAATGAACGGATAAGGTTGGAAAAGTGGGCCAAGTTAGTTTTAGAGCTAGTCTGTTCGCTAGTTTAACTAGCGGTGAAACTAGCGAACACCATTGTTTGATTTCATTCAAAGTGCTCGGCCTAGTTTCAGAGCTACTTTGTTCGATAGTTTAACTAACCGTGAAACTAGCAAATACCACTGTTTGGTTTCTTCAAAGTGCTCTGGCTAGTTTGTTAGCTAGTTTAACAAGCGGTGAACCTAGCGGACACTACTGCCAGCATTTTAAGAACCGATTTTTGGGTTTTCATTCTCATTTTCTCACAATACTCTCTCTCCCAAATTTCTTCCTCCATCATTGAATGCGAGTTCCTTAGTGTTTATTCTATATTTCCATCCATCGAAGATCATTTACCTCATCTAGGCTAAAGATCCAAGCCTCAAGTTCAAGATCCAAGTCTCAAGTTCATAGTAGTCGATTCTTATATAGTATGTGAAGAAATAAAACTTTTTTTATAAATTGAAAATAGGTATTATGATTATTATGTAATTTCCAATTCATTCCTTCACTGTAACACGAAAATAAGCATTGTGATTATTATGTAATTTCCGAGTGAACGAGTTTATGATCATTATTGACTAAATGATTGGCTTTGGTTGATGTCAATGGTTTTATACCATATGTGATTCTCTAATAACATTAGCTTGTGGCTTATAGTGTTCCGTCATAACGAATGGTAAATCGGGTCTCTTTCGTCACCTGCGGATGTTTTACGCCCTTCCAAGGGTAAGTATGAGTTAACTATGAAAGTAACCTGTTTAAAGCTACGTTTTCCGATTTAATATTTTAATAGCTTTATTCAATAACTGTTTGTTCTCACTAGACATTAAGCCTAACACTTTTTTTCAAATGACATGTATATCAGGTTCCTTAGCGGTGGCGCTCCCAAGGTTTGAGTGGAGCATTATTGCCGATAAAGGTATTTTTTTGGGTTTGCACCTTCGAGTGCAATTATGAAGTTACTAATGCAATTCTTTCGAGGATTCTAGCGACACCGTGTAATCTATATTTCGAATCAGTGTAGATTATTAGGTTGTTGTCTAGCATCCATTCTTCAAATGTAAACTCTTTCACTATTTCCCCTTTATTGGGTGATATTTATATTTACTAAGCTCTCTTTCCATTTAAGTATTCGGTTTAAATTGTCACCTATTTTAGGGGTGTTACAAGTAAAAACGAGCGGGAAAAAACGAGTAAATCGAGCAGGGAAAAATGAACAGAAAAAGGAGCAGAAAAGAAACAAGCAAAAAACAATATTATGAAGCAGAAATTGAAAGTAGAAATTGAGCATATAGTAGAGAGAATCAGGAAATCGAACCTGAAGAAGCCATGGAGAAAAAAGATATTGAACCGTAGAAGCGATCGTGAGAAATAAAAAATCAATGCGATGGAGGAGGTGTGCAGCTATTTTATCATAATAGGGTTAAGGGGTATATTTGGGATTATGAAATTAGAAAATTCCATTCCATCAAAATACCACCTTATTACCAAGATATGTTAAAATCCCTTATTTGTGGAATTCAATGGATTTTGAAGATTCCTTCCCTAAAGTAAAATGAATGAAACGAGGGAATAGAATTTGGTCAACGGAATTCAACATTCCAATTCCATCAAATTCCTCCAGAATTTACGAACCAAACGCCACCTAAATCGGCAGATAGAGATTGAAAGTAGTACAAGGAGCATGAACCAATATACTTTTAATTGAATTGCTTCTTAAAACAGTACGCAGTTTTGCGCACCAAGCACAATCAAAGGCCACACCAGAACATAAGAAAGGGAAATTAAATGAGTAGGTAGACACTAACAAATGTTCATTTACATACTAGAGAAACTTTAAATATCTGATTAGTCACTTACCACTGGAGGCCTTGATAGAGCATGTCCTTCTGGACCAGTTATACCAAGTTCAATCATTCTTCTCTGTCCTTCAAAAACAGCATCTCCATTTTCTGCATGAACCATAGCCAAGGCACCAAGAGACTTGCACTTTTTTAGGCCCTCCAACAGCAGCTCATCACTGATCATAAGAGAACCCTTATAAGCCAGGAAAAACTTAAAAGAGTTGATACCTGTAGGTTAGAATAGGAACAACTTAGCAACTTTAAGAACAAACATGTATTAAGTATTAATGACTGAAAAATTCAAACCTTTCTCATTAACCATAATTTCCATCTCCTTGGGAACAATATCATCCCACTTTGTGATTGCCATGTGAAAACCATAATCCATGCAAGACAACTTTGATTTTTCAACATACGCTTCAAAACCTTTGGATAAGCTCCCATTTACAGGAATAACAAAATCAATATGCATTGTTGTCCCACCCGCTAATGCAGCCGCTTGACCACTGAAAAAATTGTCAATCGTCTCGGTACCCATGAACTCCATAGCCAAGTGTGTGTGAGGATCAATTCCTCCTGCAGGATCACAAGCCATTATGAGTGATGTCATAATATTGTATGCAATAATTTGCATAAGGCAAGTTCAAACTATAAAGGACGCTGATCATCCAACAATGACCTTAGATAAAAAGAACAAAGTAAATCAGAACCAAACAAACCAAACCAAACCGACCAAGTAAATCTCGCACAAATGTACGGTCTGCGGGTAGGATGTACACAGACCTTACCTCTATTCCCTAAGGGATCCTCATTAGCAATCAAAGAGTCTCTTTTCTATCAGACTTGATCATAATAGCCTCATCTTTTAGAACAATGTCCAACTCAACAACAAAAATCTTTGATTGTCAAAAACCCCATTAGCACAAAAAACCATGAAAATAACGAGAAAACCCCAAGGCATACTTCTCGTCCCGATAGAGTGCAAAACTTGCTCCAAGTTCTTCTCCAAGTTAATCCCTAAATCCCCCATTACAAAAAGAAGGGACTCGACTAGTTCTGGTAGAATTGAAACCACACCAATGCTCAAATGGGTCTTTTTACTCGGGATACACATATGAAAACCCTTGAGGGCAACCAGGCAATAAGCATTACCGCTCCCCTGTCTTATTGAGTCACTTGCATAAGGAGCACATCATCATCATAGGGCTGTAAACTAACTGAATGTTTCAACAAACCGTTCATAAACCGTTTAGCAGGAAGTTCGTTTATGTTGGTTCATCTAATAAATGAATGACATGAACAAGATTTTTGGTTTGCTTAATTAAGCGAACTAACACGAACAATGGTCTCGTTCGTTATGCTCGTGAACTTTCAGTAATCCGTTCGTTAATGTTCATTGTGAGTCTGTGAACTTTCAGTATTGTGACTCACAAACCCAGTGACCATTACGATTCCCTACTAGCTACTATTCGCTTACGGTTGTTTATCTTCGTTTGTATTCGTTTAGCATCTTAACGAACGAGCATAAACAAACACGGACAAGCTTATTTTTTCTTAAAAGAAAACTTTTGGGCGGAATATACACATTGTATCTAATATCTTCACTTTCAATAGTTACATACAAGTCCCAAGAACACAGAAAAGCAAGATACCCATGACGTGTACATGTTGGATGAACTAAATCCTCATTAAAATTTACTTTTCCATTAGAAGGGGCTCGCACATGTTTTGCGGTACCCTGTAAATACTTGGCCGGTATGAAAAGGTTCTTAATGTTAATTGAGTGCTTGGTTCTCTATTAGATTGATCTGCAATAATACCTACAACTTCTCCCAATTGAACCACGTCATCATGAGCAAGGCGAAGGAAGGTCGGAAAACCAACACGAACGAGAAAACTTGTCCATGTATGTGTATGTGTTCGGTTAAAATTAAATGAACTACCATGAACAATTCCTCGTTCATGTACGTTCGGATCATTTACACCTAATTATACACGGCCCTCACATCACATACAAAAATTGAACTATCATCGGACTTTTAGCCATTGAAAGTGGTGGAAATGTATTCTATCAGACACACAAAACCAAAATGTGTACCTACATTGTGCGAGAAAAAGTTACATGTTAAAGATTTGGACAAATGAAAATGTTCAAAAACTAACTAGAGTGCACTAGAGTTCTTAATTATTGATGAAAAAAAAACTTTACCTGGCATAACAAACTTTCCCTTAGCATCAAGAACTCTGACGCCATCAGCAACCTGCTCATATAAAACTTATCTTGAAATACATAAATTCAAAGCAACAAACTATTGTAACCACAACAACAAAACGGAGTTCAAAGATAAACAACGTCAACCAATGATGTTAGAAAATCCAAATTTCTTAGCACACAGCCAAAATCCTTAGGCAAACTTTTCATGTTTTCGGGCTTATCAAGGATCTGTATCTAACTGACAGCTAAGAAGTTTGGGTGTTTCTACTGTAAGGGTTCAAACCTTGCCAAACAAACCATCAAACGATTCCGTAGGTCCCAAGACATCAAGATACAAATGCAAGTTCAACCACAAACAAGAAATGTGGAATATCTAGGGTCTAGCAACAAGTAAATGGCTATCCAAGCACAATATACTAACCACAAGCTATATCCAAGGTAATATCAAATGTAGTAAAGCAAGTAACAAGACACGATATTTATTTGGTTCCACTACCATTAGGTAGATCACATCCACCCGGAGAGAGATCACTTGTATTGATAAACCAAAGAGAGCACAAAGCAACTTACAAGAGATGATCACCAAGACTAGTAGAAAGCCAGATGGAGTAAGCTCTCCTCTCTTTGGAAGAACACAAGAAGTTTTTTCTTTCAAAAACTAATCAAAAATTAAAACTAAATTGGCTTATATATAGCAAAGGAGAGCTAGGGGCCACGGGCAACCGAAATGGGAGCAAAACACCAAAATTCGCAATGAAAGTCGCCCAAAAAAAGGGGCTCATGGTGGTCTATGGATTGTGCCATGCGATTGTGGCTTGCGATCATGACCAAAATGTCACTATCGCAAAAATGGTACCAAAAGTCTGGGCCCATACGTGATCTGTCATATGCGATCGTGGCCCCGATCATGGCCAAAATGCCACTGTTTACACGTATTCGTGTTTCGTTTTGTGTAACATCCAAAACCAACATCTACCCCTTGTTGAAACCCGTATAGAAAGCTTTAAGGGGCAGTTATTCTAGGGTGGGTGCAATTATTCTAGGGTGTAGCAACAGGCAGACCCATATGGCATCACATATATCCCAGAATTATTGACCACCCATTCACAGGGCAAGAATAGGGACACACTAGAGGATGTTTTGGTCTTCTTTCTGAATCAAAAAGAGATAAAATTCACAATTTGCAAAAAATAGAAATTAAGGATAACATAAAAAATAACTTAAGTCCATTATTACAAATAAAAGGGAAAACATATCGTTATAACAAGTTACTTTTTCTCACAATGTGGACTAATATGAACAGTGGAGGCTTAGTTACTGTTTTAATGTGTTTTTATCCAACACATTTAAATAAGAACATAACATTTTTCTATTATTGGTTGGATTTTAGACTTATATATTCATATGCACAAATAAACCCTAGTAAGGTTCATCTTTTAGAATCTCTACATATCATAGTTGTATGCCCATACCCGTATCCTTGGAAAATAAACTAAAAAGTGCACATAGAAAATTTGGATTCAAAACGAAGTTCCCAAAAGGAGTCTAATATGACCAGCTCATATGTTTGGAATAGTTTGATTTTGATTCCTTTTTTTGTTAAAGAGTAATCAACAGGCTTCGAGCAGCATATAAATTCTCCCATTGAACAGCTATAATATTAGGAACAAGTAATTTTACCTTAATATTAGGCCTGACAGCAACAATAATTCCATCCTCCACATAAACATCAGCAACCTCCTGATGATCAGCATTTACAACTGTGCCGCCCTTTATCAATATCTTTGATGGTAAGGCACTCTCCGAATTGCAATATCCAAGCCCAGAGTCACAAAACTGTAAATTTAATTTTAATTAGAATCTTTCAAGTTACTTGTGGTTTTGCCAAATTTTATAGTAACGCCCTCTGAAATAAAACCAAACAAGTCATCAGTCCACACAACTTCTACGTTCGTTTAATATGATATGAGTTATTTAATGTTCCCATTAAGAAAACTATCAGTATTTTCTCATGTAGTCTATAGTAGTTTGATATAGTTATCTTTTGCTATATAGGTGGGAGTTCAGAAAGATATGATTAGATGTATATGGGTGTTTTCACTATAGTTGAATGCTCATGGCTCTCTTGCACATGTAAGTTGACTTGTAGCTATAGGCTACTCTGACCTTTGAGGACTATGATGAGTGATGAGACCTTGACCTCTGTAGCTAAGTTAACTGTGTTCGTCTTGTCATAGCACACACAGTCATTCCTGTGTGGTAGTCCAACATCAAGTATATATTTTTCAATTCTATCAATGTTAACGAAAAAATAATTTATTTGACCCTTAAAATGCAAATGTGGACTTCAGATGGAGTTGGTATGTATTAAATGGAGAAAATTGTTATAAAGGAAAAAAAAAGAACTGACATCTATTATCTTAGTTTAAGGGCTTCAACATGAAAAGACGATTTTTTTTCACAACTTAACCACTTGCATTTCAAATTTCTAAGTTTGCTTATGTAATTTGGAACAAACAAAAAATTTGGAGTGCTGATATAACTTAGAACAAACATAAGGAATCATCCAAAGTAAAATACACTTAACCATCAAACATGCCAAAAACAGCTCACCATATTTTTGGATGTGTAACTATGATGAGAGACCTATTTTTTCTATCAAAAGGAATTGGTAAAATTTGGGGTAAAATATAGAAAAATGTCCTTGTGCGTCACACTTTTTTGCAATTATGTTTGAAGAAAATGATTTTCAGTCTTATACTTGTACTCTCATTATCTTATAACCATATCAAAAACAATTTTTTCGTTCAATTTAAATCAAGTTCCTTAAGATGAATCATCAACTGTTGAAATGTTAGCATTCTCTCCATGAAGTCGTTATCGCCCATGCTTTTGCTTCAATTGACCATTCACCAGTTAAGTTAATTGAAATAGAACGAAAACAATGTAATTGATATGATTGTGAAAGTATAAGTATATGATTAATAAGCCCTTTATTCAAGTATGTAAATGAAAAACGTGGGTGAGGGCCATGACGTCTTTGTCTATTTTGCTAGAATCCGGTGGTTGTTTTATCATAATCCAAATTTGAAGAGTATCTTCATACTCTTTGCAGTTACTTTCTAGAACAAAAGATATTTATGAGTTATAGATTCATACTTTCATTACCCTACCAATTTCATCGGTTTTGTTCAATTTTAATCAACCCTAACATAAATAGTCTATGATGGTTGAGATGATAATACAAGATCAACCCCTTGCTGATGTGGAGAGAAGCCTTACAAGCAGTTGGCTACTGGAATTAAGAGAGGTAATTACTCCTGATCAAGTCAAGCCACCCTGATTAACCAACAATATTCCTATGTTTTAGCTAATGGGTATTTTCTACTTTGTCTGCAAATAATTTCTCTGCGCCAACTGCTACAAATAGGTGTTCACACTTCGTTTTATTCAGCCAGGCAGAATTCGAATTAAATGCTAGTGGAGTTTGTCCAAGTGACCAAGTCTGCATAGGGACTGATTTATTCAAAAATTGCCCTAGTTTTTTCTGCTTTTCCATCTTCCTATCGCTAACATTTTCCTGCTCAAATCGTTGCTGCTCGTCCTCACGTCCCCAATCAACCATTTATACTAGTTAGCTTAATTAACTATTGAGCAAAGTGAAGTAATTGAAACAGTCACGAAATTACAAGAACCGATAGATATATGTTTGACCCTAACCTGTAACTAGAAAAAAGTATGAAAGCATTTTCTGCACATTTAACCATCAAATAACTAAGCTTGAATGAATCTAGACGTCCATATATGATCAAAGTTGCAGATGTTGAACGTAATAACAGTATCCGAGAAACTTCAAAGCATCAAACAGAGAACTAGGAAACAAGATAAACACTGAAAAAGAGAACGCCAACTGCATAAACAACCAAATAAACAGCACCTGGCATAGTCCGGAGAAGGGCCATAGTGTGATTGTAAGGAGAAGAATAAGCGATCGCAAATGCACCATTTTCGAACTCAGGATTGAATCTGTAGACAGGTTTACCAAATCAAACGAAGAATAGTTATATAGACTAAATTACAACTTTCGTCCCTGTGATTTATATGTTACAACTTATCAAGTCCATCTTTTAAAATTGGATTATAGTTAGGGTTTTTTGACAATTGCTGAATGACGTAGAGATGACAATGGGTTTGGAAATATCGGCATACCCCCGTGCCCGCTCCCCGCTCCCTTCCTTATCCCCATCTCCGTCTCCATCGGGTCGGGATACTAGGGAATCGGGATTTTTTTCTGTTTATAAAATTTAATTTTCTTTATAATATCTTTATAAATATCAATTACACGTTTAAGCAACATATTATTTTAAAACTTCAATTAACCAAACATTTGATGGTTACATGCGCATAAGGCTAGTTCAAAAATAATATATCAATTACAATATTTAATAATTCAAATTTTATACATCCTCGTGTTACAACACCAAAACTTTCTCCGAACAATCAAACCAATATTATAATATCTCTTGAAAAATTTCTCACCATCAAAGATTAATTATGTTGATTATATGTAGGTGTTATATATATGTACTCATTGGGTTCGTCATTATTATAATATTTTACATACACAGATATATTTATATACTATACATAAAGACTTACTAATAAATACTCGGGGTCGGGGACGGCGTCGGATTTGAGAGGTATCCCCATCCTCGATTCCATCCCCAGTTAACAAATTCCGAGATTCGCCATCTCCGCCCCATCCTTGGTCAACTCGGAGATTCCCGGGTCAAACTGGGTTTAGGTATCGGGTTCCCATCAGGTGCAGGGTTTTTTGTCATCTCTAATTACAGTCATGTGGTTTACAATTTGTAACGTATTAAGTCCTTGCCACCAACTCTGTTAGAATTTTTTTTTCTCTTAAATAAGTCATGATGCTCAAACTAGTTCAATAGGCTTGAGATTTTGTAATACATTAATTTGATCTGTAATTTTAGTAAACTTAAATTTATTTGAACAATAAAACAGTTATATTTCCACCAGTTATGGCATATTGTATATGAATATTTACATTAAATATTTGTGTGTTTATTATTAGCATGTTTAAGTATCCTTAAATAAATATGATGATCATATTATCTAAAACTTTATTTGATCGGTTATTACTAGGAGAATGGTAATAAATATAGATCATTGTGAAATCTGGTCATAGCCAAGTAGGAAGTGCATTGGGTACAACCAAGTCACCTAAACTTGTCGGTCCATAGGCATTGGAGAAAACCTACAGTCAGGATCACCTCATTGATCATCGTAATAAGGTGAGTCTTGAAATGGTGAACACTCTTATCCTCATATTTGAGATGCGTGTTGAGGCCTAATCCATAAAGAGTGTTATACTTTGATAGTCTAACGTCACCTCTAATCGGATAATCGTAAGGGTTATATTGGGTGTAACATGAATTATGTATAAAGTCGAATACATGCAATAAGGGTTTTACTCCTCTAAAGATGAGAGAGATATTTATGGGCATCTCGATGACATAGTTGATTAGCATGGTCATGGACAAGTATATTAGTGAACTAAAAACACATATTAGATCTACGGTTTTGGGCTAGCATCCGGTGGAGACCAGAAACGTGTTCATGTGTGTGGATCACCAATAGAAGAAACTTAATTTGGTTTCTAAGTGCTCTGTCAAATCCTCGTCGGATCTAGAAATGTACACACTACAACAAAATTGGTTTTATAGGACACCCCCAATCTCTAAGTATCCCAATAGACCGCTTTATAGGACTTAATTTATAGGACCAAAATATAAAGTCTCCTATCTAAAAGTGTTGTAATAAGTTTATACGACGCTTTTGGGCGTCTTAACAAGTTTTTAAGAACATTTTTAATACAAAGTGTCGCATTAGCAACTTTACAGGACACTTTTGAGATATTGTCATATATAAACTCAATTTTTTATAGGACACTTGTTTTTATAGGACATTTGTTTTTATAGGATATTTTTTTAAGTAGTGTCCTATAAAGTTGATAATGAGACGCTTTATAATAAAAGTGTCTTAAAAAACTTATTACGACATCAAAAAAACGTCATATAAAGTTAATACAACACCATTAGACAGGACACTTTATTTTTTTTGTCCTATAAACTAAATCCTATAAAAAGGTCTATTAGAACACTTACAATTTGGAAGTGTCCTATAAACCCGATTTTGTTGTAGTGACAACTCTAAACAGCCCATGGTTTGTTTAGAATTTAACTAAATGTATCATTGGATCCGGCTTAATGTTCTTTTAGAAAAGTTTTCTCTATTAATTGTAACATAAAAAATAATTTTCCGATGCGTTTTAAGGTTATAAAATTGTTTTAAAGCCCTATAGGATCACTAGAAGTGACCTTTGCAACGCAACTTAAAGCTCACGTTCAACCTTGCCAAGCTTCAGGCTAGCTCACATGCGATAACTTGACTTCGCCCTCTACATGACCTTCCATGTGAGCTTGTACCCTCGCTTTAGAAGTCATACACTATCTAACGATTATATATAGTGGCCTCTGGTCCGAATCAGACCACTATTCATGCTGATTTTTGGTCGGAAAACTCATCAAACTCGATTTTCGTTGCATAAACTAGTGCCTAGTGTGTTTACCCGTCACATATCATTGCGATCCGATGATTAAACACTTTTAGATCATTAACTTGATCACTTTCTTACCGATTTCATGAATAATCATTACTTTGATGATTTCTTGGCAATACATTAGCCCTAATCTCGAGGTTATATAAAGTATAAACTGATCAACATCTACTCAGGCTCTTAAAATGAAATAAAGATGAAGAAATTAGGAATCCATCATTCCTCACACTCGTCTTTGTTCTTGATATCAACAACACACTTACAATCGGGTAAAATGCGTGATTCTATAGTAGTGTTACCAAAATATGAACCACTAGCTAACCACAAGGGTGGTTGGTGCCTGATTGGTTTGATCTTGATTCCAAAGGTGAAAGGTGAATGGTATCTGGAAGTCTCAGATTCAAACCCAAGGAGAAATAAAAATCTCTTTGTGGCCACGGAGGTTCAAATGCGGTGACTACGGACTATCTACAAAGCAGGTGGTCGTCTTGGGATTAGTCGGCTTGCATAGCGGGTTAGATATCAAGGTTAATAAAAAAAATGAACCCCACTCATAAAGGAGTCAATACAAAGAGAAATAAATTACAAAAAAAACATGTTTAAATGCAAGTTAAAAAAGATGATTAATTAACATGCATGTTATGTTGCTTAGATGACAAGTAAAGGAGGTCCTATGAAACTTAAGATTGTATATAGGCCTATTTATTTACTTCATAAATGGGGGACTGCCAGGAGCATACCCTAAGCAACGACGTAGTTTCCAACTCGTTTTTCTTGCCTTTTTCATCGTTGCATACTTAACCACAACTGAGATCACTCTCTGCAAAGAACTTGACTCACTTCGGCTCTTAATGGGCTCATGATCTTTGGTCTCGGTATGACCCATTCGACTTAATTTTGATCTTGGTTCAGCATTCGGTTGATCATTTGGAACCCGTCTCAAGTACACTGACTCTCTGCGGTCCATCAACTTGGCCAGTGTCGGTCCCTTCGGCTTCAACTGGTTTGACCCTTGGTGCTCTTTGGCCCAGTCAACCGAACCCTCAAGCCAGTAAGCCACACCACTAGTTCTATATGCAGAACATGAATGCGACCGCCTATGCACACTCATCCTTGCCCTTGTTTCTTCACTAACCTTCTCCAAAGCAACCTGGAAAGGATCAAAATCGTCATTCCAAGTACTGCAAGGCCGAGCAAATGGGAACCTCAGTAGCGAATTCGGAGATCTGGGTGACATGGAAACCGAACTCTGGAGCCTTGGAGGGAGTTTTAATGGCAAAATACAAAACGATTTTGCTCGAGCTGGTAGCCTATGTGTTTGCTGTTCGTTATCGTTTCTTGTTGTACACCCAAAATTGGGATATGTTTGTTGAAACTCGCAGCAATTAGTAATCCTTCGGGTGGTCTCGAATTCAAACTCACCATGACGTTCGTAATCATCTGATCTCGAGTCGACCGGCATCGGGCTCGATGGTGCGCTGTAGAACTGCAAGTTTAGAGGGAAGGAATTAGGAGGAGTTTGGAAATCCATTCCTGATAGATGGATGAAAAAGATAGAAGGACAAGTAGGGTAAAAAAAAAGGGTTTGAAAGAAAGGGTTTTAATAGTTGGTGGGCAAATGGTTGCCTGAGGCTAAGGATGTGGCTGTTCACACGTATTGGTCACTTTGCTTCTGGTGTGGGATATAGGGCAAACTTAATTAGTGGCATTTAACAAAAAAGTGGCATATTTTGACATGTATGGTCCAAGAAATTCTATTACAAGTTAATTTGCATCCAAAATAGAAATGTTTAAACTACAAAAATGGCGTCTGATTGGTTTGAGCTTGACTCTAAAGGTGAAAAGTATCAGGAGGTCCCAGGTTAAAATTTAAGGAGGAATAAAAATCCCCTTTATGGCCACGGAGGTTCAAATGTGGTGACTCCGGGCTATCTGCAAAACAGGTGGTCGTCCTGGAATTAGTCGGCTCGCATAACGGGTTGGATATCCAGGTTAATCAAAAAAAATATAAAAATGTTTATTAAATGAAATATTTTGAAGAAATAATTAGTAAATTATGAAATTACCAATCAATTACAGACTATTGGATAAAACAAAATGATATATTTGTGAAAAAAGTATCTTGTCTTTTATTTCTCTTATATTCAAGAAAACAAATGTTTACTTGTTTCTATTTCCTTTTCCCTTTTTTTCTTTCTTTTCTTTGGTTTTCAAGAATATAATTAGATAAATCTTTTTTTTCTTCCTTTCTTTTTATCTTTCTAAATTCAACAACATAGCATTAAATATTGTAGTTGGAGAAAAAGGTCTTTTGAAAAACAAAACTTTTAAAAGAACATGGAAAAATATATCAATAGATAGACATTTTT